CTGAGAAGGGCTCAATCCTTGTTGTGGCAGTGCAGCCCAGGACTCTTCCCCATTGTTCACCCCAAGTGAATCCACTGCCAGCTATGAGCTGGCTGGGGCTCCACAGACCCTAGTGCAGGTACTTGCAGCCTCTCTGTTCCCTGCTGCAAGTAGCTCAGGCTCCATGGTGGGCAGCAAGGGCCTGCCCAGAGCCCAAGACAGTTGTGGCAGGCAGCCAGGAGGCTTCCAGTGGCTACACCAGGGTCCACGGAGCCCCAGCTTGGCTCGTTGCTGGCAGCGGGTATACATGTGCCTTAAGGTGGACAGTGGGAAAGAGGCCAGGGCTGCACTGCCACAACAAGAATTGGGCTCCTTGTGGGTCCCCCCATCATCTGCCCCAGGTGTGTATGTACCCATGTCTACAACAAGCTGAGTCAGGGCTCCATGGACCCCAGTGCAGCTGCTTGTAGCTTTCCGACTACCAGCCGCAGCCAGCCCGGGCTCTGGGCCGGCCCTTGCCACCCACCACGGATTTTGGACTGTTTGTGGCAGGCAGCAAGGAGGCTGCAAACAACTGCACCAGGGTCCATAGAGCCCCAGCCCAGCTTGTTGCCAGCAGTGGGTGCACGCACACCTCCAGACAGACAGTGAGTGAGCTGCAAGGTTCCCAATCCTTGTTGCAGCAGTGCGGCCTGGGCCCTTGCCTGCTGTCCGCCCCAAGGTATGTATGCCAGGCAAAATGCGTTTGCATGCCACATTCTGGCATGCATGCCAGGGGTCACTGACCCCTGCTTTACACTCTGAACAGAGTAAAATCTAATGAAGGAAAAAATAAGCCTGGACATAGGAACTAGCACCAGAAGAAGAATAAAATAAAGTAGAGATTAAGACAGTTACATATTAAAACAATTTGGTGAGTTGACAGCATTACTTACATTGACACTCGCAAAAGAATGTCTCTCTGCTTTTCTGGACTGTACAGGCAACAGAGAATAATGCTCTGTTCTGCTCCCATTTTAACTCTTATCTATCTTCTAACAATGAATGAATAGGCTAATGGTGGGGTTTAGGTTTATTTGTGTTGGGGAATTGTAATATTTAAGATTGGATACCTTGTTATTCCAAACATCAGCCTCTATGCTCCCTCCCTTCCTTACAACACCATATATTACCAAGAGGTTTACCACTGCACCTCTCCTTTACCAGATCTTGTCTTCTCTGTTTGGAGGTGGAGCAGTCTCCAACTCTGCTGAATTACCAAGTAGAGCACCATGCTTTGCAGTGTTTTATTGCATTTCAGATACATTTTTAGGTGCAATGAATTCTCATTAAAACCGCACAGGTCCATATTCCCTCTAGGTTGAACTAATGTTCAGCAGCAACTGTCTTGCAGACACAACACTGAACTCATTCTGTGCCACAGAAAGAGATCCAGGTTAGCTAGAACACCATTTTTTTTCTGCTTCCTACTGTTGCTGTCAAATCTTAAGCAGCATCTCCCACCTCCTCTTATTTCCAGGAATCCTAGCTTTCTGAAAGCCTTCCCACCCCTGTCTGTGATGAAACCACTGGGACTTTGAGTGGTCTTTATTCTATTTATTGCTTACAGTGATGACTGAAAGCAGGAGTGAGGGTGGTAGTGAAAGAACGTATGAAAGAGTAAATTTGAAAAATGAGTCACCCGGGAGAGACATTCATATGGAAAAGTAGCTGGAAGGTAGCCAAAAAGACCTGGGAGAGCAGCCACCGAGGAAATAGAGATGAAAGTGCAACTCTTTATATTCCTCAAATGTTAGAGGATATATATTTTATTGCTGTGGCTTTCAAAGTTGTTGGGTTGTAACAATCAAAAGTCCAATGTGTTAAGCTGTCTCCAGCATCTGTTGAACCAATTTAGGCTTTTTCAACTTTACTGTAAAGTCAGAAAAATCAGGAAATTCTGAATCAACACCAGCGCCTAGTTATTAAGCCAGACAAACATCTGCCACCTACCATTGAGGAATTCCTCTTGCCACTTGAAGAATGAGTATACTCTTCTGAGTGTACTACACTGGGATAAGGCTTAGCTGACCATAGCCAGAATTCATTCATATCTGCTAAGAATGGGCTTGATCAGCGTCAGATTTAGGCTTAAGCTACTTAAGCTACAGTTTAGGGTCTCACTATGAGGGGCCTCTAAATAAGAAAAAAAACGGGGACATTTTTGTTTTAATATGACAAAAATATACATATATATGGCTCCACAGTTATTATTCATATTAAGTTCATAAATGTGTGCAGAATAATAAGAATTCATTTTAACATTTAATGAAAATCCATTTTTGTGGATTTTGTGCTTTATTTTTATCATATGCGGCCTCTTAAACTGGACACAGTTTAGGGCCTCCGCATGTCATAATCCGGCACTTGGCTTGATGCCCCAGCAAATACATACTTCACTGGTGCAAACTGTGAATGCTGCCAATTGCATCCAGACCAGCACAGGGTGCTGTGCTGTAGAGATTTTCTTTTCGATGAAGACCAGGCAATTACATCCCTGCTCCAGGGTCCTATGGGGAGAGAACAAATTTAACCTTTCAATATGGCTCTAGAACAGTTTCGGCAGCAAAGGTCATTTGAGAGATATGCTAAATTAGCATAAACCTGTCCTCTGGCAAATGCCAATCATTTCTTTATTCTCTTATTCTGATTACCTAACTTGAATGTGATCTACTGTTTTGTTTTGTCTGATTTGATTTGATTTTTATTGCCATGTACCAGTCTTGGATAGGGTGGGATGTAAATCTAAAAATAAATAAATAAATAAATAATGTCATGTCATAACCAACTGGCTGATGAGCAAATTATAACAAATCACTGAGATCTGCTGTTTCAGTTCCCGAGATTTTAGACTTGGAGGAAGACCTGTAGCATTGTGTGAAAATAGCAAATTAGATTATTTTAGGTTAATCTTAAATGTGATTTATTTTCCACCCCTAGACGTATTGAAATTAAAAGGACCTTAAATTTATCAGCCTTTTATTATATGTAACTTTAACATTAGTAAGGACATTGACAATGTCATTCAGAGCCCTCTTCATAAAATGAGTTTTAAACTCCCAAGAGGCAAGGGTTAACTGTATATTTGGGGGAGATATTGGATAAGCTTTCAGACATGAAGTATCTTTCCCTTCTTTCTAGTACATATGAGGCCTTGTGATAATAAAATAAGATATAAGGAATGTATTATTTTTGTATTCTGATGGAATCTGAAACTTATTTTCTAACTATTGCTTTTGCATCCTTTGTTATCCTTAGGTGCCTTCTCTGTATTATGGAAGTTTTGAAAGTTCAAACATCTATGTCAAAAAACTAAAATCTAAAATGGATGGGTGACATATTGTTCTTTATATTTATGACCTACGAAGCATGACATGAAAGATAAAATCTATATGATCAGCATAATGTGAGGAGAGCCCAGTTACTCAGTCATATGATTGTATACTTAAAGTTGTTCATAAGGAGGATTCATGGAGTTCCATAGAACATTTTCAGGTAGGACTCAGAATCAGGCAATAAACTGCTAGGAAATGGTTACCAGAGCCCCCCAAAATTTAGCGCTTATGGATATTAATTTCCTGTTACATCCTAAAACAACAAGGTCATACGTTTATTTTATATATATTAAATTTATGAAAATATCAGTACAATATCACTCACAAATATATTTATGAAATGTGTTGTGTATTTTTGTGTTCAGATGGTATATACTAAACATTATTTACATTACTAGTCATTTTGCAGTTAAGTGCAGGCCATTTAGTAAATCAATATGTGTCCATGTACCAAAACACATTTCATTAGCATCTGATACAAAAATATTTAGTTCAGTGGTATATGGAAGTCTGCATTGAAGGAAAACCTTCCTAAAACAAATCTGCATCAATCTATGGTATGTGACAAGATATTATAACTTATTCTTATTTTACACTGGGGTAGTATTTAGAAGATGTGTAACTTCTGTGTGAAGTGGAAGGGTATCCTAATAAGAAAAACATACAGCATGATGTAAAATAAAGCAGTTTCCTTGCCCAATACCTCCTTGACTTTTGAGATGCTAAATGCTGCACGGATATAAGTTAATACAACTTCCATTAACTTGAATGAGAGTTGAAGGTGCTTATGCAGGGCGTAACTTGATTCTCAGCATGGTGTGTTTTGCACTCAGTTGGCACATTCGTTGAACGATAAAATTGGCCTCAGTCCCACTGTTACACTTTATCCCCTGAGCTGTATACTTCATTGGGTGCGTTTACATGTGCGCCCCACTACACAGTGGGTACCATGCAGTCATTTATTACTTTCCTTAGCTGTTGCTTAGTACTTCAGTAAGTACTAAATGTCTGATCAGTACCAGCAGCACATGGGTTGTTTCTGACCTTACTGCGCAGTAGCTCATTGCTACTGTACAATAACTTGTTGTTACTGCACAGTAGCGGCAGTGTCATGGTTAGTGCCCGCTGACACTGTCACTGTAGCTCATCATTTCAGCAATGCAGCGTCTTGTGTAGATGTGCCTATTAATATTAAGTTCAGTGGGGAGTTTGATCCAGTGTTGCATGTAAAGGGGAGAAAGACAATAACACTAATAAATGAAAGATCCTGCTCTGTCTGTGCCTCTACTTCTGCTCCCTTGACAAGGCAGAAGAGCTGCCAGGGGGGATTGTGCCCATCTCCATTACACTGCATACTGCACGGGCTGCCTCAGATGTTGGGATGTCTGGCACTGGCAGTTTAGGGATACTGCCTTGCCACCTCAGAGAGCCCTCCCACCCCCTCAGTCTGGGTTGTTGGGGTGGGGGGGGGGGATGTATCACCCTCACACTACGAATCCCAGCATGCCATGCTCCCCCTTGCTCCCAGTTGCACATAGGTGTGCAGGGATGAAGGGGGAGCACTGCAGCCTGGGATGTGTAGTCTCCAGCTCTGCAGAGCTCTGCGCAGCAGCTGCCTCCTGCTCCCCACCAAGGCTGCCGTGGGCCATGGAAGAAGGAGGCGATGGGTGTCCTGGCAACAGAGGTAGCCACGCTCTCTGGCTGCTCCTGGCTCTGAAGAAGGAACAGCAGCAATAGGAGCAGGAGGAATAGGAGAGGTGGCTGCTTTTGCTGCTGCTGCTATCGAGGGCGGGGGGAGGGAGGGGGCATCCAGCACACTCCCCATTGCTGCAGCCACCTCAGCCCTTTCCTCCTGCACCCCCCACTAACAAAAGGGGACACTACATACTTCCTTTGGTACCTTTCAGCTCTCCATGCTGGGGCCTGGCACAGGGAGCATCTTCTGGGTGTGCGAGCAAGAGAGACAGGCAGAGTGACAGTCCGACACACCCACCCACCCAGCCACACAACTGCGGGAGGAATGATGCTGGAATCCATTCGCGTCACTGGTGAGTGTTACTCTTCTTTTTTATTCCTTTCTCTCTTCCCCTCCTGTCCCTGCAGCCTTGCATCAGGGAAACAGTCTAATCAGCTGCCAGAATTACAAAGGGATAAAGTAGATTTTACCACCCGCCCCACCAAATGCTGAGTTTCTGAATTTTCCTCTTTCCCCCTTGCCCCAATTTGGATGTGGCACTTCAAATATATTGCTTATTATTAACAGCAGTCAGCATGGGATAAAGCAAAAAGACTAAAAGCCTCATAATTGTGTTTTCTGAATTGCCCAGTTCCCACCCTTCCATCTTTCCCCTAGTGACAAAATGCTCAGAGCACAGCTCTGCCTGTTTCCAAGCAACATCAATGAAGATTATATCATCCTAGAAAGGCATATAAAACAGCAACCCAATACTAAATGACCCAACTTAGTTGTTAAAGCACCTGCTTCCCCCTGTGGCCACAGTCAAGCTGTTTGAGGGGCCACACACCTACTTGGCATCTTTGGAACAAGACAACAAGAGTATGAAACTGGTGATGGAGAAGCCAAGTCAAAACACTAAATACCTTTTTTCTGCAGGGTTAAAACATAAAAATGAGAGCATTTCTTTTAGAATAGTAAAGTAAGGGAACAGACAATCAAACAAAACATATTATAATGCTGATAAAATAATATTGTCACTAATCTTCTCTGAGGACTGTACAGACAATTGCAATACAAAAACAACCATAGGTAAAGCAGTACAGACTCTGGTAATATCAAATAAGCCACTACAACAAAATATATTCCCTATGCATAAATAAATACATGTACCATATACAGTTAGTTTCAAACTAAAGGAAATGATAAAATTCCATATTTTTCTTTAGACAATTTCCTTTTTAAAAAGGTAGTTATTTTGTACATCTGCTTCCAGCCATATCTATCCTAGCATTGAGAAAATGTTATCCACCAGTGAGAGGTACAACGGAGTGAGTGCACTATCACAGAATACTGTTAGGATCATTATTTGAATTGCTTTTAACTAATTTTATATGAGTAGGTTTGTAGGCCTCTTAAATGTGCAAGCACTTCAGATGGGTACTGGCATTATTGCCTGGATGATGAGGCAAGTATCAGTGCTGAAGATGTTAAAGGGAAAAGAAATACGATTTTTAGAAATAAATGAAGTCTGCTTTTTAAGACTGCTTAAAAATCATAGTTAATAGCAAACCCATTTGGGGTCCTGATTGTGCACGGAGATATTCCTTAGGAGAGCCTGTGCTTCAGTGCAACCAGATGTTTCACTTAGATGCAAGTTTTGGCCTGTAGAATTGACTATAAGATGAATGTCTTAAGGTAAAATCCGAAAGTGAATGAGAGTTTTTCTATTGGCTTCACCAGAGCCAGGATTTTACCCTTGGTTATTGTGACAGACCTTATTTGTCAAAGTTCCATGTAGTTTTGATCCTACCAGGATGTTCTCTTTATACCGCAGAAACAGGCAGGCATTTTGCCAGGTGTTGGATTTCGTTTTGGGTACGTACAAGTAATAAAAACACATTTTTTAGGAAGCACTTCACCAGCTTCAGTTGATATTTCCTTTGATTACAGAAAGCATGTAACCGGAATATTACTGGGCTTCTTGGAGAAGAAAACAAAATCACACAGTTTAAAATTATACTATGTTGTGTTATTATTAAATAAGTATTATAAAATAAGTATTATAATTACACAGTAAAAATTAACGTTCTAATTAAATAGTAATGTTTTGTATTCAGACTTAAGAAGGATCCACCTGAAATTCCATTATGAACTCCCATTTCTGGTATTTTATAACTCAATCATAAAAGCATTCCTGAGCTGAAACTTGCCCTTAGTTGGAGCTAATTTATATTTCTAATGGCAAAAAAATAAATGATGAATAATAGATATACATTTACAAAATAAAAATGTAGGTTGGTTTACGAAGATGTTAGTTTTGACTTCTGCAAGACTGTTTCCAACACAAACCTGTTTCTGATCACTTAAACCTGTTTATGTGTAACTTCTGCCCCTATACATTTTATATGCATTTATCACTTTAAGTTTATAAGTTACTGTGGCTTGAAAAGTCATTTTTATTGCATATTCAGGACTTATGTTCAGTATTTATTGAATTCACTGATGACTTGTGCAATTCTTTGGGGTTATTAAAGGCAGAAGTGATGACATTGCTTGTATAGTTCAAGATGCCTGGCATTTTTCATTATATGACCCTGTTTTCAGCTGCTAAACACTAACTTTTAAGAATAAATTTTTCATGGTGGGGATCTATGTGAGGCTGAATTTATTTGGAATATTTCAGTTGAAAGGGCTCAGCCATTTCAGAAACTAATATTAGGTTAAATACACTGTTTTTGCATGTTTAAAAAAAAGGATACAGGGATTTGTTAAAAAGTTATTGCTTCTATTCTGGTTTGGCAGAAGGAATCACCTTGAATTTAGAAATGTGCCTTTTGCGCCCTGCTGAAAAATGTGTTCAGATTTAGCTGGGTTATCAACAGGGATCCTGGTTTTCTCTGATTAAAGAAAAATCACCAATTTTCAGGTTAAAAACGTAACCCAAAATCCACATTTTTCTGTGATTAAAATGAAACACCACTAATTTATATTTTATTTTAGTGGTGTTTTATTTCGATCATGGAAAATCATGGATTTTGGGTTACATCTCATAAACTGAAAATTGGGGATTTTTTAAAATCAGAGAGAACCAAGATTCCTGGTTATCAGCCTCCAAAAAAAAAAATCTCAGTTTGCAAATATCCAGCTGAAGCATGGGAGTTTATTGGAACCTTTAAAAAGTTGTAATACAAGTCCTAAGTGTTTCGGGTTGGACACCTAAAACTACTGAACACTTCTGGCTTTAATCACTCAGTGCCAAAGGTTCCTCAAGTGTAAAATGGAGATGATACCATGTAGTCTCACAGGCATGTTGTGAAGAAAAAGTCTGTGCCCTGGGCTAGGGACAGAAGTTACACATAAAAACATTTCAGTGATCAGAAACAGGTTTAAACCTGTAACAAAACAGACATTCAGTGCACTTAAACTGCTTTCAAAATGGCTGAAACTGGTTTAAGATAAACCTGGTTGGATGTAATATCAGACTTAACTGATTTAGGTCAAACTGGTTTACGGAACTTCTGTCCAAGATCCCTTCCTGGTTCAAGTTAACTAACAATCCCACAGCATCCCAGGATGATTTGCTGCCCTGGGCTGTGCTGTCTTCTCTGGCTGAGCAGGGTTTGCCCTGCCCCTCTGTTCCCTAGTCAGAGCACTAGCACACCTCTGGCTGGCTGAGAAGAGGGTGGAGGGGAACAACCCATCCCTCCGGCTCAGCACCCAACCCATAGCCGAGTGCAGCCTGGCGTAGAGGGGCAGGGGGGAGAGTTAGGGTGCCAGGAGCAGAGCTGGAGTTCGCCAGCCATGCCCCCCACCCCGCCTCAGTCTCCGGGCCAGCTGAGGGGGCAGGGGGAAGGGGTAGCGTGAACCAGGGCTTGGCTCTGGCCCACAGAGCTGGGAGTGAGAAGCAGGGCTGGAGTCCCCTAGCCATGCCCCCTCCCCAGTCTCTGGCCCAGCAGGAAGGTGGGGTGGGAGCCCGCACCAGGGCCCCAGAGCCAGGAGTCTGGAGCAGGGCTGAAGTCCCCTAGCCATGCCCCTTCCTCAGTCTCCAGCCACGCTTTGGAGATGCTGGCCAGAGACTAAAGAGGGGGATGTGGGTGGGGGACTTCAGCCCCTCTCCAGGTGGGGGCAGGCGTAGCCAAGCCCCAATATGGGCTTCCCACGCCCCTACCACCTCAGCCAGCCTGGAGACTGAGGAGGGGGACATGGCTTGGGGACTCCACCCCTCCTGGCTCTGGACAGGTAGCGCAAAGCCCCCAGTTTGGGCTTCCCCCCAACCTTGCTCCTGGCTGCTCCTGTATTGGGGTCCAATGCCAGGCTGGAGGGGTGGGTTTTTTCCTCCCATCCCTTCCTCAGCCAACCCAAAGGCTGAGGTGGGGGTGTGGCTGGGGGAATCAATCAAGTCCCAGCTCTCTGCAGTGGCCAGCAGGCTGGGATGCCTGCTCTACCACCCGCCAGCTACTGATATGGGCCACTGCAGGGGTCTGGCTGCCTTTCCTGTTTGAAAAGTGAACATCAGTTCACTTGCTTATCAGTTCAATCTATGCAGTTTAGAGGAACCCGCAAACACTGAATTGATTCAGCGTCAGGCTTTTTGACTGCCTGTATTTAGCCCCAGTGGTAGTTCTGTTGTTGCTACGTTGCACTCAGCAGTTGTGAAGTATAGCCTGGGAAAGCACAAACTGCTGATAGGACTGCAGCAGCCAGGAGGCCAAAAAGTGGCTACACTCATCTTCTGCCAGCTGTTGAATGGCAAAGAATGATTTAACCCTGTTGCTGTAGAGGACCTTTGGTGTGGATGCTATGTCAATGCTGTCACCACCCACCCCCACTGCTGCCGGGTCCTGGCTTTGGTCAGGTTGTAGGCCCATTCCCCATGCCATGCTGTTAGCACAGAATATGGGGGAACACACACTCCCACAGACTCCCCTGTCCCGTCACCAATGCTTGAGATCCTTACAAGGGTGCTGCATACGATGACAGCATTGTTAGGTGTGCAAACATGACTAACAAGATAAACCCAGAAATTTCAAAGAGGAATCCATATGGTCAAAAACATGCTGACCGGTTGTGGTCTTTAAGAGTTCTCTGAAAGAGAAGAATTGTTCTACTATTTTTCTGTAGTCAAAAAACAAGTGAAAATTAAGAGCTAGCATTTTCTGACGGGTGCCTCGAGTCTAAAAAGGTTGAGAAACACTAGCATAGACAATATACTAAATACTGATGAAAAATGCAGAACTACTTTATGTGAACCAAGAAGCATAACTAGGGATCTGTTTAATGTGTGGTTTCATGGATTTTGCAGAAACCATGAAATATGGGATTGTCCACAAAACTTGTAAAATCAACACAAAAAAAAATTTAATAAAAATT